AAAACGCGACCAATGTGACGTAAATACCGAGCGTGAAGCATGTGAAATAAAAAAAGGGGGGTGCGGAATAAAAAAAAAGGGACGCTATGGGATGTGAGGGGTCGGGAACACTTTTTGTGACGTAATAGTAGTACATTTTGAAAACTCACAACAAGAATTGACTGTTGAGAGGAGGAAACAATTGGAAATCAGGCTACATTGCTCATGCATGAGTTTCAGTTGGAGGTCTTCTTGTGTAGCATGTGTGGTGGAGTATAATTCTCCTTATTTTATCCTACTACTAGGATCACCTTGTTTGTAGGCGGTGATGGAATCCTCCTGAATCAAACTTTTGTCAGAGATTCTTCTTTGGGTGTAATTTTTGCTGTTTATCGGGATCATAATTTGCGCTTGTTTTAACCCCACTATTGAAACCTTCAACAGACAGTACCATTTTTAATTTTATTTGTAATATTGATAAAATTAGTTCATTTGTGCAAGTCGGGCACACCAAATAATTCCATTAATGAATGAAAATTTTCCGAGACCCATCATAAAATAATATTTTGTCACAATCACATCGTGACCCCAAAAAAGACTAAATTGTCAACTTTTTTACTATTGTCATCAATTCCTTTGTTCTCCAGTCCCATAATTTATTTTCCAAACATAAATTCTCATGTAGTATAGAATATTACTCCCAATCCTTTCCTAGTATTCTGGACTACGGTTCTAGCTGTCAGTAGGATATCAGATTGTTGGTATGATTCATACTGGTTGTCCAACAAGCTTCTGGTTTTGTGCACATTGCAACACTGAAAATACCCAGTTTCATATTTAGAGGTGTGAGAGTGAGTCTTCTGTGTGCATCCAATGATATTCCATCCATGTAGAAAATGATGGGAACCAGAATTTGTGAATCAGAGGTACAAATTTTATCCCAAGAGGTTTTCCACCAGGTACCATGGTGCAATTCTGAAATTACAGAATCATTATCCAACTCTGGTTCATTCTTACATGAAGACAGAGGAGTCATAGAATCAGGAAATGAGAGATTTTCTTCCCTCATAACAACAAGCTCCTTGTTTGAGAGTACTAGAGAGTATAGAGCATCATGAAAGGACCTAACATACACCTCCTATGTTGGTTGTGTTGTCTGGAAGCCAATTGACTATGACATGATAGTGGTACAATGTGCAGTAACAATAAAAAGAGGAGCAAATGAAGAATAGAGACAACAACAGAACAAAAGTTTGTTTCAATGAGACAAAAAATATTTTGTTCAGTGCTGTACGGAAGGAATGATTGCAGATTTAGTGCAGGATGGGTTCTGCACAGATGAAGTACTACTAACATCATGAAAGGAAAGAGGATCAGAAATGGTTTCCCTGTACTACATGTAATCTTCATTCCAATGGGTCAAATCAGAAGTTTTTTAAATTGAGGTGACATAGAGGACAGAAACTTTCTGAAATTACTAGATGGTGATGCCCCTGAATTGTGTGGTGGTGTATTTTTAAATTTAGTCCCATGGAGGCAGATTTAATTATTTCTAAAGGTGCATATTCTCAAAATTAGCATTGAGTGAGGTTGGAAGAGGACCCAGAACACTCTTTTGGACGTCTTTCATCATTACAGTGCTGGATTCTTCTTGTTCAAAAAGAAGATTGTTCATTTGATTCTTCCCCCCCCCCCTTTCCACCAGTCATGAATCATCAATCATCATCCTTCTTGATTCAGCACCAGCAGTCGTCTTCTAGTACTCATTCTACCAGTTCACTCTGTAGGTTTACTTCTTCTACTAATGCTAAGAAGTTTGCTTGGAAAAGGATGAGAGGAGTTGGCACGGTTTGTTGTCCCTGATGATAAATTTGATCACTTTCAGAGTCTTACTGTAATCTCACCGTTAGTACTAGTACTAGCAGAATTACTACGTTACAGCTGGTAAGAAGTACTACCTGGTACTGGTGGAAAACGCTACGCTACCCGGTACCGGTATGTAACTTCTTTTTCTGGATCCACGAAACAGAAGAACCGGAAAAATTTGGTCTGCCCGTCGTAGTGGGCAGGAATCCACCAATCAAAAATGGCGGAGAAAACGAACACGGAGGGCTGGCTCTGACGGCAACAGAAGCACGATTAGGACCTTCGTTTGTGATACGCGAGCAAGATCTTCTTTCGCTGCGCGCGTTGCGTACGCTACTCGTACTGTTTCATTTATTTTCTCATACTCCAAACCAGCGAATTAAAACGACGATTAGTAGTTCAGCAATGCAAAAGAGACTGCAAGAAACTCTTTTTCGCGATACTTTCATAATTTTTTTTCTTCTGTTATTTATTGGTAAAAATGTCGATCCAAGATCAAAAAAATGTTGGATACTCATAAACATATTTCTCAAAGTCTCTCCTAAAAACAAGGGAACCCACTGCCAATTATCACACTTTGGATCTCTATTGTTCATAATCGTCATGTTGAGATAGACTGTGTCTTTATGTCGGTCACAGTGAAAAATCGTTTCAGTCCTTCAGTAGTGTAATCGTGTAGAAATGAACTAACATACCGTCCACGACTTGTCCGTGTTAAATCACACTATGCGACACCGACCAAAATGGAGCAAACACACTCGAGAAATGGGTCAACCGTAACCCGTACATTTTGCACGTGAAAAATAATACAATACTTCACGCTCTACGAACATTGACTGCTTGCTCTAATTTTACACAACAGCAATCACAGTCGTCGTTGTCCATCCAACAAACAACTCTCTATCACCATCACCTTTCCGCAACGCCAGTCTTCCCATCTAAACGCAATTCGCATCGACAAAGGTGTATTGTATTGCAGCAATAGACAAAAACCTTGAAGCTCTCAATTTTCAACAGCATCATACAGTACGTACCGAACGAGATCAAGACGAGCAAGTTATTCACACTCAGGTGTACCGTTCTCCACATCCCGTACGTTGATTTCAGTACATTATTCCACGACCTCAAATTGGTTGTGTAAGGTAAGTACGCCAAAATCAGCGCACAGTTGAATTATTGCCTCCTTGCCTGTTACAGTAATCTTTAATTTCACATGAATAAACAAAATAAAGATTGAACATACCATCGAAAAAGCAAATCTGATTAAAGTAATTTCTCAATCAATCGCTTTCTTATCTTTCAATTGAATCGAAAGACTAAAAGAGAGACAAATCAAGAACAAAACTAATCGGAGATCTGAGCACGGCGGTCCTAATATTTGATCACCAGTGATGTCTTCGAACAGTACTGGTTTTGCGATCCCGGAAACTTCAGGATTCGCGATCTCCCCTACAAACGCTGCTACTCCTTGTACGAAACCGCAGGATCCTAAGGACGTTGGTGTGTTGTCAGCATCAAGCAAAAACACCGCTGTGACTTCAACTCCATCAACATCGAAACTAGTAGCGACTAAAAACAAGCCAGCAAAATTGACATCGACTGTGGAAATGAAAACAAAGAATGAAACATCGAGCGGAGCCGAAAGCAAGAAACCTTCAACATCGAACCCCTCCAAAACCTCCTCCAACAAGAAAGATGACAAACTGCAATTAACTGTAAAAAAGGAGAAGACATCCGCAGCACTTGTCAGTTCCACGACATCGACCACAACGGAGGGTGATGCTACGGGTTCCACTAAACTGCCAGTGCACCCTCATGCTTCTTGGGGAGCAGAAGATGCTAATGGTGGTATTGTCAAGCCTCATGACCACGATGTTCTTTCTGGACGAGGAAATAGTGTCAATCACCATCCTGGGAACGAATATTTTCGTTCCCTGGTTCGACACCACAAATTAGCTTACGTCCGGTGTCCCAAGCCACAAAAAGAACAGTTTTCCAAGCTGATTGTTTCCACCGTTCGCGATCGGGAGCCTCCTGGGCGCTTTCTGAAGCAAAATCCTTCCACAAAGCTCTGGTACAACATAGGTACCCAGAAGGCCCTTGACAAGACCCGCCAGGCACTCAGGGAGGGGGCCCCTGCCACCGTAGCGGGTCTCATGCTCTCACAGGGCCTGACGCCATCTGCGGCTGCTGCAGCAGGTCTGACCCCATCGCAAGCTGTCAGCAGCATGTCTGGAGAGGGTGAGATGGGAAACAAAGGTTCTGCATCTACCGGTGGGACCAATCCCTTTTTGAATCATTCTCACCACGCCGCTGCACATCATGCGGCAGCAGCTGCCGCTGTCGCCAATCAGCAACAAGCACATCAGCAGCATCAACAACATGCTGCCATGGCAGCCGCCGCCCATAGCCGATTGGTTAACAGTCAGTATTACAACGCTGCGGCCGCCGCTGCAGCGGCTGGAAATTATACCAATTCCCCGAAAGTGGCACCTCCCATGCCACCATCATCTGTTGCATCTTCCGGAACCGCCATATTGGAAGGAGCCGGCAATACTAGCGATAACAAATCTTCGACGAAAAAGACGCCACCTCCACCGCAATCCCCAACACATGGTGCTATCAATCCTCACCAGCAACCGCCTCCTTCTAATCCCTATCCTCCCTCCGCAAACTCAGATGAGGCATTGAAGTACCAAGCTGCCCAGGTAATCCGAATGGCATCTGCTGCAACTGCAGGAAATAACACTCCTACTAACAATAAAACCAATGGGAATGGCAATCCTAGCAATCCACCTGGAAGCTTTGCTAATTCTGCGGCCTTAGCTGCTGCGGCCGGAACCTTTAATCCGGTCCTCCTGGAACACATCATGGCTCAACACGCTCGGGGTACTGGAGGAGCAGGTAGCAATTTGCCACCTCCTGGTGGAGGAGGAATGGATTGGAATGCTGGAAGGCAGGCGCCTACCCCAGCAGGACGTGGCGGAGATTATCCTGGGCAATATTTGGCGTATCCACCACCACCGCCGCCACCATCGAGCAGTGGCCAACACGAGGACGCATATACCAAAAGTCAGCGCCAAGAAGCATATATTGCCCACCTTCAGGAACGTATCCAACAACAAGAACGACAATTGCTGACTCTATGCTCCCATATTCTGCTTTCGCCCTCCGGAGCACCACCCATGGCCAACGCCAATCCCAACAACGGAAATAGTAGTGTGGGCGGTACCAACGGCAATTCTCATCACGGAGGTATTTCTCATCCACAGTTTGCAGCAGCTGCCAAAATGAATGCTGCAGCTGCCGTCGCCAATATCAATGCTACAACTTCTGCAGTCAAGGAACTTCAAAACTATGCGCAAAACAACCAAAACACTCCCAATGCAACAGCTAGTGCGAGCGCAATGATAGCGAGAGAACGAGCGAACGAACACAATGCTGTCCACCGCCACGCCGCAGCAATTGCAGCAGCAGCTGCTGCTTCCAACGCAGGCAAAGCCGGGGTTGGTGTTGCTCCCCACCTGCCCGTGTCATATGTGGTCAGTCAACCCCCTTCTTCGAGCGTGACAGTCAGTTCTTCCCCAACCGTCACACCTACCACTGCTGGCACAAGTGCCGCGACCAGTAACTCCTCAACGGTTCCTGCGCCTTCCAACAGTAGTAAGAAAAACACCCAAAGCAGCAGTCTTAAAATGAATAAGGAGAAGAAGAGCGGTGGATCAGCAGCCACAGTAGTGACGAAGACTAAACCTGCTTCAGAGAAATCGAATCAACCAACGGATGACGGGGATGCTGTAGCAGCGTTGCTGGCTCTCGGAATTGGTGGGAAATCCCCTTCTTCGTCATCACCGGTAGGAGCAAGTGCTCTTTCATCTAGGGGAGCTGGAGCCACGTTGACAGGTGGAGATAAGACAGCAGATGAGGCATTTTCGGCTTCGGCTTCTAAAAAGAAAAGAAAAATGTCAGGTGGACGGCGGAGTCTGCCCATCAAAAAGAAGCAAATCCAGCAACAACAGGAAATCAATAAGAACAATAATAATAACGCAGGTGGCAGTTTCTTGGGGCCAACACCACCGCAGCAGCAACAACATAAACAGCAGCAGCAAAACGGTGCTACAATACCACCGACAATGAATTCCATTATACTTGCCCAGAACCGTGGTGCAGTTATTCCAAAAGCTGCCGACATGGCTCCGGCACCGGAACTTTATCTCTATGGAGAGACGCCAATTCATGAACCACATGTGCATGTAAGTCCTCGATTAGATCTCTATACCGTGTCATTCCTCATGTTCTAAGTTTTGAATCTGCGTTTTGCTTTGCCATTAACAAAATCTCATTTCATTTAATCATTTGTTGCTCGATTTTCGTTCTTCCTCCGAACAAAAGGACGTCCTTTGTGGCCGTGGAGCTTTGACAAACGAACACCCAGGCAACGAGTGGTTCAGAAGATTGGTTCGCAGCAATCGGCAGCTTTACAGGAGCTGTCCCAAGCATACCAAGCTGTTAGTCGCGAAGGCGATCGTGCAAGCGGTACAGCGAACACAAAGGAATCCACCGGGGAGATTTCTAGAAAAGACGAAAACTGCGGATGGATCTGTGAGCAACACATGGACACCAATCACGTATAAGAGCGCTGTTGAGAAGGCTTCCCAGGCCTTACGAGAGAAGGTAACGCCAAACTGGGGAGCTCCACCATCAAACTTCCCTCTTTCCAAGGCTCTGGAAGCAGCGAGAGCAGTGGCATATCTTGAGAAAGAGTATCCATCAGGGGACGGGTTTGGTGGGACAAATCTATTGGCCTTAATAATGGCTGTGGTGCAATCAGCTGGTCTAGATTAGTACGTTAATTTATGTTGGGCGGGAACTGGAGCCATTCATTTAATGGAGAAACTATCACTTATTATTTGAAAAGTGGATTTTCGCCATTCGGTATGGTTATGTTAATGATCTGGAATTTCGAGTTTTGTGAAGAACAGAAATACAACATTGATAAAATACAAAATAGGATATCAATAAGAATCAAACGAATATAAACAAGTCCTGATTATTACTTATCAATATCAGTAGTAGTAATGGTTTGCGACTTAATTTAAAGCAATAGTACTCCTACGCAGTAGTAAGCAATAGTACTCCTACGCAGTAGTAGTACGTAGCTTGTCTGTTACTGTATTAGGTACCTTCAGGAAGTGACGAAGACAAGAATGGGTTATTCCCTTGTTCTAAAAATCTAAAATTACCGAAGTAGAGTAATTATACTAGTAGGCACTACGAAAATAATGATATGTCGTAGCAATAAATTAAGTGCAGTGGAGACTCATATTAGGAATTTCATCCGAAATTTTGGGTCCGACTAGTTGTGGATGAGTAACATTCAGGAGGAGTAATTCATAATGGTTGAGGAAAAAAGAGATTGAAATCTGATGTATTTGCTACTTTCCCCGTTTTCTATTGAAATAATTTGTCTATTTTAAAACAGACATCTTCCCACTAGACTCCAGAATTGATGTACATGTCGAATAAGGCTTCTACTAGTAAGGCACCATCGTAAGGCATGGCAAGGAAGATAGAATGATCAACTTCTTTTCTAAAGTTCAAATATTGCGCTTCTGAAACATTGCAGGATGCTGATGATCTAACCTGAAGGAAATGACGAAAGTTGCTGTCCATTGTGACTACTTTTTGATCTGAACTCGCCTTGACTTCAGCCAAGATAAAATTAGTCGAGGAAGAAGAGTGCTAGAATTATTATATGATCCAGACGCGTCTCTTCAGTTCAACTATTCATAACTAACATGCCGTTCGGAAACAGAATGTCCCAACGCGACCATCGCGGCGATTTTCTGTATCGGACATGAGAAGAACGATTTCCGCACCTCCTTCAGAAGCATTGTATCTCATTACAGCATCAACTACGTAGTGACCAACATTCTCCTGTGCAATTAGTTCCAGTCCCGATTCGCCTAATTCATAGGCGACAACAAGGCCCTTCCGACGGATGATCACGACAACGGTAGTTCCCAAAGAACAGCAAAGAACTTCGGGATACGTTCCTTCAAAACAGCAACAAAAAACAGATTCAATTAGTGCACAGGTAATACTACGTTTTGGGACTTGTTTGACCTCTCAATGATCATTCAAAATTTAGCGACCTCTCCTGAAACATTTTGATACGTACCCATTGCTAGCGCGGGAGGTTCAAAATCGAAAGAATGATATGGTCCCTGTTCGATAAGGGCATCGGTCATGACGTCTGTTAAGCCGATTGAGTTTTCATCCTCCTGAGTCACAGCAGACACGCAAACAATTAATTCGTTGTTTTCTTCCACAACGAATAGCACAAGAGGCATGAACGCTTCGAAATTCAACCCTGGTGGCTGGCAAAGACAGGCTCCCAAAATTTCACTAATTCAAGCGAGGGCAAATGTAGTTCAAGGCATGGATGAGACAACAATCTTTCTTCGATTACCAAAACGAAAAAAACTGCACATCACACTTACTATGAAGCGCAAACTACTTTGGAATCGCCACAAATAGGGACCAGCCATGCCTCTAGACTACCACTATTGGTTGCATCAGCGGAATTGGTAACCAATAGCATGCCCACCTTTGAAAGCATATCTAGGCCATCGTACCCATTGGCACCGCCTTCTTCGTAGCTCACAATTTTTTTACCTTGCAGTTCAGGTCCTCTCTTCCATACCTGACGGGGACGAGGAGATTCATCCAATGGCATCCAATGAAAACCTCCTACGGGCGTGATCAGCATGAAACATAAGGTATCCTCGCCAGCCTCTGGTGGAAGGAATCTCCAGTAATTTAGTTTCGTGGTCATCTGTAACTCCACGACGATGGTTCTTGTCGATAGTTCAAAAACAACCATTCGCTTATCTTTTGCCATGAAACAACACAAAAATTCGCTACCATCCCCATCCATTTGATCGCTGACTATGGCACCACTTGCCCCAATGGGATAAGTGAGCCCAGGTGGAACTTGATCGTCCCGCCAAACTATTGTTTTTTCCGACCCACATATTGAAATCGCTCCGACTCCAAAGCGTTCTAATTCGCGGTAATCAGGCAATCCACCTCGGTTACCACCAAAATGACGCGTTGCGGGAGGCCCTCGTATAAGAGCGGATGCAGCAGATGTTCGCACTTGCTCAGAAAGTGGAATTGCGCTCTCCCAAAGCGGTGAAATATCAACTTCTTCGGAGGCATCCTCCTGTATCGTTTCTTCCGTAACAGCGGATATACCTTTATTTTTCAGGGGACTATCGGGATTTTCATTCAATAACTTCTCTCCCTGCAGTTCACTCCCGAATGTGCTACCACTCATTCTTCCTGCAAAATCTGATGCAAATGAAGCAGGTGAGGATAGATCTGCACCTTTATCTGGAGATTGCTTGAAATTTCCAAAATTTGCCCCACTAAAGCTGCTTGAACCGAAATCAGTATCGAGCTTCGTTGCGTTTTTAGGACTGGAATATCCGTCTTCCTTGCTTTGTTTTGGAGGTGCAAGTAGCCCAGCCTTTTTATTGTCAGATCGATTCTTACTATCGGTTGGTGGTTGAAAGCCTCCAGGAGGTGCTAATAGACCACCCTTCGGAACATCACTGGGTGGTTTCAGACCCCTTGGTGGTGTCAATAGCCCCTTCTTGGGACTAAGGGCAATTCCTTTATCGCCACCAAGTTTTCTCTTGATTTTTATTTTAATCTTTCTCTTTATCTCCGCACACTCCAGATACTCTGTCATCCATGTCTTGATATCATCATCCTTTCGATCCAATGCCCATACTCTTAATTCTGTCAATCTGAAATCTTTGGTATGATCTATTCCAAAAACCAAATGCGATGTCTCGAGCATTTGATCAAATGCCGACGCTCCAGAAAAGTCATCAACTTCGAAGTCAGGGGGCGAAAAATTAAGCACCTCAGAATCTATTTTTCTCGATCCACGAATAAGTAATGATACCGCAGAACTGATCATAGATTCTTGCTTCATAATAATGCAAATGTGATTCCACCGTGAAAAATGCACAGTATTTGAAGGAGTGTCTTCGATATTATCTCGATTTTCAGGTTTCGTTGTCACAGATTGCCCCGCAATTGTGCGAAATTCGAGTTCACCATTTTTGTGGAGACCAAGTTCCCAGAGTAAGTTTCTTTTCTCTGATTGGCAAATAACGTCAAAATCACCCGCAGACGATCCACAACTTCTGCGTACGAGAATGATTTCCTTCTCGATAGACTCTGGAATCCACGCCCAGAACTCGATAGTGCATTTTTGTCTCGACACATGGTCGGGTCCATGCATCAACCCTAAATCCAAGCTACCCCCGCGCATTGCGGAAATCACCAGTGCTGATGCTTGCCCTACGCCCGATTGTCCAAATACCAAATCATGAATAGGTTTGACTTTGCCACTTTCGCCTTCGTCCACACTCGACAGAGATTCTTGGAGATTGAAGTCGTCAGGATTTCCGACGATAGTAGCTGTATTTTCAAATTTTGTGATATCAGCAATTCCTTCATCTCGCCAAGACGTATCCTCTTCTTCGCCTTCAGAGAATCTATAGTAGGCAGAGAGTTTATCTTCGTCTAAATTTTCGATTTTGTAAGCAATTCAACACAGCAAAATAATTAGAAATGGTGCTACAACACAACGGAGAAAGCAGGAAATATGAAACATACCGTTCAAGCCTTCACCAACACCATCCACCCATCCATCTTTAAATGTGTCCTCGTTCTCTCCTCCGAACGAGTCTTCGTCATTGCAATGGAGGATACCAGCTAGAGTGGACGCGCCTCTTTCCTCAGCACTCTTGGCTCCTTCTCTTCCCAATATTACAGGACGCCTTCGACCAAACCATTCTTGAACATTATCCAGCAATAATAAATTCTCTTTCTCATGATTAGGTCCCTCGTTCCAAACCAATTTAGATTCAGGAATCTCTGAAGAGAACACTTCGTTTTGTACTTTGTCTCTTGGCATTACCATAGAAAGCGAAGATTCACCAATGAGTCGCGAACGCTGCCTTTCGTACTTTTTGCTTCTTTGCACCGACGGCGCCAGTGACTGTAGCCATTTGTAATTAAACTGCGGTGATGGTGTTTTGCCCGCCTTCAACTCCGTAGTGAGTGCTGCAAGCGAAGCCACTAGAGATGGGACCTTCTCTGTTTGAGAATCTTGTTGATAGAGAGAGTCGATAAGAGGACTGCCCTCCATTGCCGGGTCCAACTGCAACGCCATTGATAACTGGAGCATAATTGCGTCAGAAGGCTGTGTTCCAGAAATATCTAACATTTTTATAGCATCCAAAAAGTTACCTTGCTTCATAGCATCCAAGGCGAACTGCTGACACAAGATTGCAGTTGGATCACTGGGACGAGGCAAGGTTGACGGCATATTGATGTCTGGGGACTTAACATATTCTGTAAAGTACTGATCACCGCTAGCGATAAGGTGTAAATGCGTGTCTGCATCGAATGCAGCCTTTATTTTGGCCGTAATTGGTAGGTACGACGGCAGCAGCCTGCTATTCGCAGCTCTATCGAAGCCAATTGTTCCTGTCAATAGCCATGACGCCGCTGATTTGAAGTTGTAGTATTCCAATAGCTCAAAGACCCTAGGAGTGATGCCCGCACCGAAGTTACCGATTCCTTCCTCTTCGCCATGAGACATGGTAACAACTTTCCTCCCGAACTTTTCCAACACAGCCCTCAAGAACGTTTGCGTAGTAGTCCCTTTTGCACCCGTAGCAATAGCATTTGCAATCATCGGCTCCAACAAAAGAGCAGGCCGAGTCGTTGCCAGAGGGAGTAAGAACGTATTCGTCGATTTTCCTCTTTCCACTAGACGGGTTCCATTATGATGAGAACTGTACACGAATCTATCTGGACGAATTCCTGCCAACCAATTGGTGTAATAACTCGGAATGAATATTGGAAAGCTAGCGATCAGGCCAGACCTTCCGAAACTCTCTGGTAGACCGCTGAGATATCGTATCTTGTGATCCATTTGTGACGAAAAAGCAACGGTAAACGATCCGAGCGGCACCAGGGATCCCGGGGGCAGTTCGCAATCCCATGTAGCCATTACATTCAGATCCGAAGACAAAATCAGAACTCTTCGAGTCGTAGCAATTCCTATGCCTCCTTGGATAGAATCTTCACTAGGAAGTGGCACGACAAGAGAAACTTGTTCTCTTTCGTCGAGCCAAAGAACGGGGTTTTCCTTCATGTTTGGTAAAAGAGATACCCAATCCAGTCCTTTTTCTGCAACTAGTTTTCCGGCGACTACACAGAACCTTCCACTCGAATCCGATGCAATTGCTAATAGTGAAACTTTATTCTGAAAGCGAGTCGGCACGAATTGGCGCAATTCCACAAAGTCGTCTTCTGATGTAGAATTTCCTTTTTTATCACCCAAAATTGGTCGACAGGGTGCATCCGAAACAATTTGCCACGGTTTTCCCAGGGCTCCCGCACGATCCTTCCATTGCCATAACGAGACTGAACCCCCGTTTCGGCTTACGACTAGGGCCTGGGGAATCCCACTGCCCGATTTGTCGTCCCGGGTTGCATTCGGCAGGAATACAACATCACGACTATCTAGCAATTGCACTAGCTTGTACTGGCCTTCTCCGTCTTTTGCGACGAGCCCGATGCTTGCCGCCTGGCCACTACCATGCAAAGGACGGAACCAGACCGCAATGTGCTGGCTAGTATCGGGACTTCGCCCCTCGGTTGCGTAGGGGTTGCGTGTAAGCCGATATGGATAGAGACGTTCGATCTTCGGTTGTGTCACGAGCTCGCAAATTACAGTGGATTGGGCACCACCTAAGACTACATCGTCACTATCCTTTTCTTCGCGGCCGAGTCGTGGCTTGGCACCACCTTGTTTCGATCCCTTGGAATCCCCCATAAAAGTTTCCACCAGCCAATGCCTTCGAGTGGGTGTTGTCCATTCCAACAATGTGGGCGACGACGGGTCCGGCGACAGGGTCGATTTGAACCGTTCGCAGTGAAAAGTGGTGTAAATACTGAGCACGCCTACAGCAGACGATACAAGGCTGTCGGCCCAATAATTCGAACCGGAAGTTGTGAGACCAGCTGGAATAGTTCCTACACCACCCGAGCCAAATGGGAAGCGCGCGTTGGTTCGGTATTCGATTTCTTCGATGCTCGTATTCGTATAATATAAAATGCCCATCGTGCTCGACAAGCTCGAGGTCATCAGGCCCTTTGGCAGATTCGCCACCTGCTTGGTCCATTCCTGGGTATCCCAGACGTGAAAGGCGAGGTGATCTCCTGATTTCTTGCCTCTGGTACTCCCCATGTAGGCCGGAAGGGGACATGTTACCAATGCCAAGCGAGCGCAATCAGGATTAGATTCAGACCCATTCAACAGAACCACCAAACTGGGCGGTACGTGTGGTCCCAAATCAACAAACGAACACGACGATTTGTTGTAGGATTTGGGCCATTTTGAAAAACAAAAGGGTCGGAGCGAAATCGTTTGGCTAAGAATCGTCTTCTCGCTCGGTGGCCGTATCTCATTGTAGGTCCCCCTTTTCGACGAATTGCTCTTGTCCTGCAGCTTTGGTAGGGCAACGTGATACAAGCAAAGCGCTCTCTGAAAGGAAGCGGCCAGCAAGAGCAATTGCTTATGGGAAGACGCTCGATAGGGGATCCATTCCAGATGCGTGCAACATCCCACGTCTGCATTCGAACCCCTGTCTCCGTCTACGGTAGTTTGCTCTCTCGAGGACCAGTTCGTTACCGGACAAGTCTGGAGGACCTTGGCAGCATGGAGCCGGCACATCGGAAACAGGAGCTTCCGAACAGCCTCGTTGTTCTTTCCGTTGAGCTTGGTGGCTGCTTCGTAGGTCCACACACTCAAACTGCCATCGTCCAGCGCTATCGCTAGGTAGGGCACGCGTTCGCCATCGCCGCTGTTGTCGTTTTCGGTATCTCCGGCATCTGGATCGCGCGGGCTCCTCGGACTGTTGGTGGCGGCCATGTGCGAGATCTGGATATCCTTGTTCTTAACGATGAAATTCGCCGACCACGTTTCCCGGACGGTGGGCTTGTTCAAAAAGACACAGGGTCCCTTGGCGGAGGCACCCGCCACAAAAATGCAGCCGTCGGCTACCACTAGGTTCTTTGTGTCGTAGGTAAAGTCGGCCCCACTGGGTGGACTAAGGACGGATTGGAGCTGGACGAGCACGGAAGCATTGCTCCCGCCCCAGTTCCAGACCGCAATGACCCGGAGCACTTCGTCGAAACGTTCCCCCAGAATGGTCAGGTCGAGGAGGGCCGCCACCCGGACAGCTTCCGTTTGGCCACCTTTTTGCTTCGGCGACGATCGATGGACGCCGGCAGAGATGGTCCAGACCCGCTGGACGGCATCTGGGACGACGCGGTATTTGTCGGCAATCTTGCGCTTTAATTCGTCCGAAAACACCGCGGTTGCCAACACCTGGGTTTTCCGCTGGGGATCCCATTCCAAAATATCGTGCGAGTTGTTGGCAGCGACCGAGGGTCGGCAGACAATGGGATTTCCGGTCAATGGATTCGTTACCGGTGCCGGGGATTTGTTTTTCTCCGAGGAGGAGACGATCATGTTGGGGCGCGAGTCCATCCACTTGATCTGAGTGGACACGGATTCCTCTCGATTGACGGGGGGTTTCTCGATGGGGGACGTATCGTAGGGTGCCGGGGGCGGCTGTCCCCAGCCACCGCCACTGCCAAAATCCATGTCTGTGAGGTTGATGCCAAAGGAAGGAGGTTCGTACTCCGCTGGCTGCTCTTCCTCCGACGCAGATATTCCAAACGGATCGTTGAAGCCATCGCTGGATTTCGTGGATGGGTCCGTTTTGGTAGATTCGCTTCGGGGATCGGGAAAGGACCCAAAGTCCGCGGCAAAGCTCCCGAAACCGGATCCGATGGACGCGTTGCTGTTCGGGTCGGAGTTCCCCCCCTTGTGATTCTTTTCAAAGTGGTCGGAATCAAAGAGGTTTCGCAGCGATTGCGCCCCGGCAAACCCGCCCTTTCGATCGGAGGATTTCGGAGACCGCGATTTTTTGCTGCCGGAGGATTTCGGAGACCGCGATTTTTTGCGGCCGGAGGAATTTGGTCTGTGGCGATCGCTCTGTTTCCCAATGCTGCCGTGCCGCTGGGAGCTTGCCGGATCGGGCTCCTCCACCGAAGCGGAAATCGAGTCCGCGGCCTCGTGGTCGTCGTTGCCCCCGTTGGAAGAGGCGTTGGAGGAGGATGCATCGGAACCCGAGCGCCGGTAGCGCTTGGGAGGCGATTGCTTGGACGGGGATCGGCCCCCGATGGCATCGGCGGCGGCCGAGGTCGCCGCCAGGAGCTCCTCCTCCAGTGCCTCCGGGTAGTCGGGTACCGGCGAGCGACGGAGCGTGTCGGCCTTCCCGCTGCCGGATGCTTTGGGAGAAAGCCTCTCGCGGTTGCGGGACCGGGATCCCTCCCCGTCTCCCCGGGTCTTGCCGCGGTTGCGCGGGCTCCGCGATCCCCCCACTGCGCCGCGGGCGCTTTTGTGGCGCGAGGGCTCCGGATCGGCATCGCCGGAAAAGGGAGGGGGCGGCAGGGGGGTGTCCTGCGGCAGCTTGGTGGGCGACCAGGACTTCTCGGATTCTTCCGCGGCAAACGGCGAGGATTCTTCCATGTCTTCTTCCACAAAGGACGACGAGACCGGTCGGGCACCTCCCTTGCTGCCGCTGGTTTCTTGCTCGGCGTCCCTCACGGAAGCATCCAGGGCAGAGACCAGGGCATCGAGCTCCGACAAATCTTCTTCGGAGCAGCGCTGCTGCCTCTTTTTCTCCGACGAGGATCGCCTGCTGCCGCTCGCCCCGCCATCCCCTGCCTCGTCGCCGCTCTCCGTTTCGAAAATCGATGGGGAGTACAGCGACTCCCTGCGATCGCCCGCCGCTGGTTTGGAGGGAGTCACCGGGACGGCGTCGGCAACCTCTTCTGGCGCCCCGGGATCCGCCCGCGGCTTCCCCCCGGAGAACGGAGACGAGGGGGCGGGCCCGGCGGCCTTCGGCTTGGGCGTATAGACCGCGCTGGGCCTGGCTCGGAACCGGGTGGATGGAGTCGACACGGGGGGCGCCGGGGTCGGGTTTTCGTCTTGTCCCCCGTCCGGGGACGATTCGCCTTCGCCGTCGGCTTTCCGGCGCCTCCTCGCCATCAGCTTGGCCAGTTGCGGATCCATGGTTGTTGGTTTGGTTTTGTTTCGTTTCGTTTCGTTCGGTTTAATAATCGCTGTTGTTGTTTTGATGTCTCTCTCTCTGTGTGTTGTTCTCCGCGGGAACCAAGCAATCAAAGGTATGTATGCATCTATCTATAATCTATCCTTCAATCAGCACACCGCAACAACAAGGTGAGGTAACAAGTTGCAGATGTTGATTTTGCGGTACAATAGTGCACAGGAAGAGGGTAGCAGGCCTTGTGTCATGTCCTTTGGGATGGTGTAGTGGCGGGAGGAAAGATGTTGTCGTCGATGGATTGTCATCGACTTGTCAAATTTGTACTCGAAATAAGTACGAAAGAGCAATTCAAACCAAAGACCTACGGTACGGTACGATATGCGACGAAAGATCCGGCCCGCCTGCCGCCAGGCTTTGTTTTCTAAATTTTCTAATTCAGGGGGGAAAAGGTAGAGGGGAATTAATTCCGATGCACATACCATAGTTTCGAAATCCCCTTTTCAAGGCATCGGTCTTTCCGTCCCCCCGTGAGCAGTCCGTTCGTCCATGTGTCCGCTTCGGGGCATTGGAGGGTTGTGAAATTTCGGTGCGGATTCCGAATTCCAAGAAACATGTTACGTAAGGAACCATATTGTAACGTACGCAATACAAATTCTGACACGCTCTCCAGGTCAAACACGCGAAGACCAAACTGGGACCTCTCAAAGGATCGATCGGAATGCAATCCCGAAGCACGAACGCGCGAAGGTACCGGGAACGCTGTCTTTTCAACAGTGGAACTCATATTGCCGTGCCGTATTGCCTACTGTAACGTACTATTGTACAGTAGTCTTAAAAATTCATCGATTCGTGATACTCAGCAATGACCCGGTCTGCACGCTATCTTTCCGTAGGCACGCGCAAATTCTCATCGGTTCGCCAAATACTACTGTACTTCCGTCGTTTCGATCCGAACCGCCGACCCAAACTGGGACCTCTCTGTCTGTCGCAAGAATTCCTGCTCCCGATCACGGGGAGACGGAGAACAGATTCATTGTTCCACGAGCATCCTCCAATGTAGGTACGATACAGTACCGTACCGTACGGTAAGAATTGATTTCTTTTTTCGACTGTTTTCGCTCGATGCCGTACGGTTTGTACTAGCGGGACCGTATCGTGCCGTCCCCGGCCTGTGCCGGGAACCCGACAGAAACCCAAACCATGACTCCCCGTACGATTTAGTACACCGTCTGCGATGCCGCGGAGCCACTAACCGAAACTGCGTCATTTTATTGGCCGTGTGCGCAAAATTTTCCCATAAAGCAGAAGACGGGCATTTCGTTCATTGGCTCGTTTTGACAAGAACCCCACCGCATCCCAATCCATCCAGCATCTGTCCTCCCCAACGGACATTCATCCATCAGAAGGAATAGCAAACGCCGACAGCATTAGAAAGTACTGTATCACTACGAAGACCGAATCCTTGCCGAACAAAGCCATTCTGCACAAAAATCGAAGCAGACCACGGCAAAGAGCAAACGCCGATCCCACCCACCCACCAAAAGCAGACCGTTCTCCGAAAGGCCTGTTTTCCCTCCAATATCTCCAAAGCCACCGATTATGTTGAGCAAACTATTTACGGCAAGATCGTCCGCATTGATAAGTAGCAGCAGCAGTCGAAGTCTCAGCCTCAGCCACAGTTCACGCGCGCTATCGGCCTTTGCCTCTTTTCCGTCGCCGTCTCCCTCGAAACGAACCCGCGAAACCCTCGTTTCGAACCGCCGAGCCCCGCCCTCCCCCTTTGTTCGAAGCAGCCACCGAATTTCACACCGCGCCATGTCGTCGGTCACGAACAGCAGCGTCTTGCCGACCAAGGAAGAAGCCTTCTGGGCCCTCGAACAGGCCAAGGAACGAGACATGGTCGGGCCGGAAGACACGGCCCTGATATTCCACTCTTGGACGACCCACCGAAAATACCTGACCCATCTCATGGAGGTATTTGGGGACCACCCCAACGCCCTGCACGCCATTGCCGTCAAGACGAATCCCCATCCTGCCATCCTGCGGCAGCTGGTCGCCTGGGGCTTTGGATTGGAGTGCGCCTCAATGGAAGAAGTCTATCTGGCGATGAACGCCGGCTGCCCGGGGGAAAAGATCGTCTTTGACTCCCCCGTCAAGACCAAGCACGAGATTCGCATCTGTCACGAGAACCCGCAGCTCCACGGCATTCTTCTGAACGTCAACTCCCTCGAGGAGCTGGAGCGCATCCCGGAAAACCCCAATTTCGTGGTCGGACTGAGGATCAACCCCCTGGTCGACACGGGCACGCCGGAGATCTTCCAGGTCAGCGGCAACGAGTCCAAGTTCGGCACGCCCATCTGCAGCAAGGAGGACATCATGGACGCCATTGCCAAGTACCCCGTCACGCAGCTCCACGTCCACTCGGGAACCGCCATGGAGGACCTCCAGGTCGCCGTCGGTGCCATCCAGAGCGTCGTCGAATTTGGAGTGGAAGCGAACGCCATGCTCGAGGCCAAGGGCATCGACCGCCGCATCGTCGGTGTGGACATTGGCGGGGGCCTCCGCCCGGAAATCCTCGGGGACGAGAACTCGGACTACGGAGCCGACCTCTCGAGGATGCAGTACTACGTCAACCAGCTCAAAAAAGCCGCCCCGGCCCTCTTTGACGAGATGAAGCTGGTCACCGAGTTTGGCCAGTGGTCCTATTTCTACAGTGGGTACGCCTACAGCCAGATCGAATACACGCTTCAGCGCGAGCAGACGCGGGTGGCCTACATACACCTGGGTGCCGACATGTTCCTGAGGGACATCTACACCGGCAAGAACCGCGGGATGGACTTTTTGCCGGTCGGCGAGGCCGCCCACCGGCCCCAGGAACTCACCGACATTGCTGGTCCCCTCTGCTTTGCCGGAGACTACCTCCAGCAGCACGTCATGATGCCCCGCTTCGAGGAGGGCGACGAGATCCTGATGCTCAACACGGGCAGCAACGCCTTTGGCCTGTGGTCCCGCCACTGCAGCCGGACGGTCCCCCAGGTCATCGGGGTCGACCGCCAGTCGGAGACGCTGACGGTCATGTCGCCCCGGCGAAACCCGCACCTCGAGGAATCCTACAACGGCCTCCTGCTTCCCTGGGAGGCGCCGGAGGACCTGGAGGACGAGGAGGAGGACGCCGTCGTTGCCGCCTTGTAGACGCAAGATCGGAGACACAGACGCAGAAGAGTACCAACGAGACTGGACAAAGGAACGAATCTTACTACCGCGAGAGCGACAGTGTGTGTCGCTCGGGAACTCAAAATTTTGCCAAGCCAACCAGAGCTAATCCGTCCATCCATCCACCCACCAATGCCACCGACGGAACGTCGCTGAATGCAGCGTCGTTCTTAGTCGATGGGTTAAGCAGTTTAATCACCATTTCTTTTTTTCATGGGCAACTCTCTCACGGAGCTAGCTACCAAAACCTTATGTTTTAGTGCGCACTAGTCTAGCGATACGGTTCCCGGATGCGAACGCACACCGTGGGATCCAGCGCAACCGCACCGATGCGCGGCAATCGCCCACGGCCGCATTGCCCTCCGAAACAAGCCCTTAGGCGTTCGAATGCAACGGGTTGTTCCAACCGTGTTTTCGCGACCTGCCGGCAGTCCGGTTGGAAAAACCGATCGTCCCGCAGTTTTCGAGGTCGAGCTGCGGCAGACAGAACGGCGAAGGGGATTGCTTCGTTTGATAGTACTCGTACCCTACGTATCGTACCATACCGTATTTCGATTCCGAGGCGTGTAGAATTGGCGCAAACTATTCCAAGGGATCGGCATGTCACTGTCGACGCGACGACTTTGTTCTGGGGCAGTTCAGCAACAAAAACTAATCCAGTGCGAACCTAATGGTCCTTGAGGCCTAGAACTACTCGTAGCTGCGTACGTCCGATACGTACTTGGTATTTACCTGTAGGTACAGTAATACGTACATAGGCGTAAGTAGAAATAATAGAATGAAGTATCGGTAGGATACGATAGCGATGGTAGATGGTGCAGTAGTACGTATCGTACAGGTTCGAGTACTACTCTGAAATACGGAAGATGGCAGGTTTGTTTTTGAACGCACGCTTGCCGATTGGCTACGGCGTGCAACGGATAGATGATACGGATGATATCCGTAAGCAAGAACACCTAATTTCGATCCTTTTCGAAAAAAAAAACTACCTCCAAGCTTTGTACGGTATGCGTGTCCGCTTTGTCGCAAGGTCGGACACAATCACATCCATTCCAATACCCCCAACGGTACCTAGGGTGAAGCCTTACTCAAGCCTGAACAAACAGCTCGGTTTTTCTCCCCTTTATTTTAGTTCTTCGCTTCAGTAGGAGAGGGGAGCGAACGATAGAACACAAGTCGCTTCTCTTGGCCGTCTACAGAATAAGAGGCACCAACAACAACAACGACAACAAGAGCAGCAGCAGCATGGCAACCTCCCTTCTTAACAACCTCTTGGGCAGCACTGCCGGCGAATCGAACCAGATCCCATCGGTGGCGGCAGCGATGACCGAGCAGGAACGAAACGAGGTCGTGGCGTTGCTCCGGTCCTCCATCGAATGCGTCACGAACGGAACCTGCGACCCCGTCCTGTACCAGGCCATGGGAGCCCTCCATCGATACACGGCGGCCTGCGCGGGGCTTTCGCCGCCCCCAACGCAGAAGCCGGCGTTTGTCCTCCGAGAGGACTGCGGGCCACGCACCAACGAGAACGACAACCCAGACCAAGAAGACGCACTTGCATACGGATGGCTCGAAGAACTCTCCCCGGCTTCCCTCGATTCCTACAAGCGGGCCGAGAAAGCAGCCTGGAACCCCGTCCTCGCGCTCTTGGTGCAGCGCGAGCCAACCGACGAACCGTGTTTGTGGATCACCCGAGAGGTCGTCCCGACGGAGCGTCCGTACGAAACCGACGACGAAACCGACGACGAGGAAACCCCGCGCGGCAACGAGAACAGCCCGGATCGCCGTGGCCCTGCCACCGAGCTGGAAACCCTCCACAAGATTCCGCTGAAGCGGCGCCTGAAATCCTGCCGGTACCAAAACTTTTACGGAGACCACCGAATCATTATCTTTCTGAAACACGTCCTGAGGGACCAACAGATTGTTCTGAAATGTCCGTCGGCGATAGCTGCGAAATCCTGGATCGATTGTCTGGTCCAGACAAAGAAACAAAAACTAGCACCGGGAAGCGACGACGCAACCCACGACAACATCGAACTGGAAATGATCGAGGCTTCCCTGTCCAATCTGCCATCTGTGAGCAGCACCGAGGGCGACGACAACGACGGGAACCACCGTGGCAGAGACCGCGGTCGCACCCGGATCATCAACGTCATCGATTCGCTCGACGAGGCCGACGGGGACTACTATCTGTCCGGAGACGCCCCCGCCGAGGCGACCGGCAGTCCCGCCCGAGCGAAAAAGCCGCTCGCCGAACAGCTCCAGGAGGCGGAGGATCGAAAGCGCGCCCAGCAACTCGCCGATCGAAACGAGGAGCGAAAACAGCGGATGGAGCTGGAAGCGATGCGGCTCCGGGAACGACAGGCGGAGGAAACGAAGGAATCCGAGCGTAAGCAAGCCCTGGCACGCGAGCAAGCCGAACGCGAGAAGGTGGCCGGAGAACGGCGCGAGCAGGAGCGGGTGGCGGCCCTCGAGCGAGAACGGCTGCAAGCGCAACAACGTAAGCTCGAAGAAGAGCGGCTGGTGGCGATCGAAAAGGGGGTGGAGAAGATCGTGAAGATCGAAACGCAAAAACTGGAGGAGCGCAAGCAACAGGAGGAAGCACCAAAGGAGCCCCCAAAGCCAAAAGCCCCCGTCACCGCCGCAGAGAAACAGAGACTGCGGATGGAACGAGAGATTGCGGCCCGAAAACGAGCCGAAGCCGACCGCCGGCGCATCGAGATCGAGTACGAGCAGGCCAAGAAGGAACGGGCCGAGCAGCGCCGAAGGGACCTCGAGGAGCAACGTAAAAAAGCCCGGGAAGAGCAACGAAAAAAAGATCTCCTGAAAAAGAAAAAGTTTCTGGAGTCGGAGCAACGAAAGGAGGCCATGAAAGCATCGGCGATGAAACCCCCTCCCAAAAAGGCCTCTGCCGGGATTTTCTCCGCTGCTGCCACTAGTGCTACCGCTGTTTCTAGTGGCGCGGTGGCCACTCCGTCGAATCCCAACAAAGTTGATGCTGCGCACCCCAATGGAAAGAAGGACGAAAAGGGAAATTTGTGGTTTAGCCTTGGTCAGCAGATGTCAGCATTTGAGGCCGCCGACGAAGAACGGAAACGACAGGAGGCGGAAAAGCAAAAGAGAGAAGAAGACAAAGAGGAAAAGAAGGAAGAAGATCCAGAACAAGTACGGATGAGGATTGCGGAAGAGGCACGCCAACGCTTGGTCCAGGATGAGGCAAAAAAGATTGCGACTGAAACCGAGGCAGCAAAGCTCGCCGCTTTTCGTCAGCAACAAGAACTCCAGCGAAAGGCATGGGCATCTAAAGGTGGTACAGCTCCGATTGGCTCCAACTCCCCTACCACAAATTACAACCAGAACCAGTCGAGGAGTCATCGCTCTCTCTCTCCGAATACCGCGCCGTATCAACACCATCCACAGCAACAACCTAGTCAGAGTTCCAGCCCTACCCCTCCGTATCCTGCATCGCACAACGCAAGCAGACAACCCTGGAACCAGATGCAGAACCCATCATATCCACCCCAGCAACCCCAGTTCCAACACCCACAACAAAGTGGTGTCGCAGCGGGATCTTCCTTACCGGGATACCATCAGCCACCGCAACATCCACCCAGTCAACGACCACCCGGATCCTTCAGCAATGCGATGCCTTCCCATCCAAACCATCCACAAACACAAACGCACTCACAAACACACACTGCACAAGAACCAACAGCTCCTCGTTCCACACATCGGCAATCGCCACCTCCCCCGCGGCCACAACCGACAAACGGTGAATCGACGGAATCTACACTGAAGAGGAGTGTTCTCGTTACGTGGGGTCTGCAGCCGCCAGCGATGCAAGTTCTGAAACCGGTCAGTCAACTGATATGCAGCATTCACACGGTCTTTCCACCCGCTTTTGGAATGGCAGCCCACGAGTATTTCCGGGGCTGGAAACCCGTCGCCGCCTCGGAGGTAGAAGAGCCAAAGCTAAAAAAGACAGTCCGAAAGATCCGCTTCTTTTTGCATCCCGACAAACTTCCCCACGACCTCACAGAGGAACAACAATTTTTGTGCAAGCTTCTGTGGGACGTCATCAACGACGCATTCGAGGAGCACAAAAAGTCGAAAGAAGACCTTGACTGGATGTGATTCGGTAGAATTCTGTGCTTTAGGATTAGTTCATAGAATACTTTGCTGAAAATGAAGCCCGAAAACTTTTCAGAACCTGTAACTTGAATATGTCTACCAATAGATTGGCTTGTATTTCATGGTTCATGATGAAAAACACGTTATTCGATTTGATATATTTGTATTGACAATTGAAGTGTCTACAATTAGATTCTTGTAAGGATTTGATTTTGTGTCTAAATATTATTTTGTGCGTCTATGTTGTATTTAGTCGTTACGGAATCCAAAAGGAAGTGCTGAGCTTTGTTTGAACCTCTTCTTATTCCTCTATATACTCGTCGTCATCCAAGTACTCATATAATACACCATCCTCAACCTCGCTAGGTTCATCGTCTATCCAGTGCGGATCATATCTTTCAATCTCATGCTCGAAATTCACAACTTTCCCGTATCCTCGAGGGAACGAATCTTTTGCCACAATCGCTAGGTGCTTGAACTGTTCCATGAACTGGCTCTCGATTTCTTTCAAACTTTCGCCGAAATTATTGTGCGTAAAAATATTCAATTCGATACCATAGAGCCCATCCCATTTCATGGCAAAGCTTCCAATCGATGATAGGAGGGTGACCACAATACCCTTTCCGATTTCAAAAGTGTTGGTCGCAGCATCTCCCTCATCCGTTAAACCCATCACCACTGCCGATTTTTTAAATGCTTCCTCCAAAATTTCTCTCGAAAAACTTACGTCATGGTCTGTACTAAATTCAGGACTTTCAGCATATACCATGACAAATTCGTGAGGGACATTTGCCAGCATAGCAACATCTGCATCTGGATTGTGAGGTCGGGTTGCGATTCCTGCCTCGGTCAGCCCAGTAACATAGGCAGAATAAAACTCAATAGGAATGTATTTGCCCGTATCCTTATCTTTCTGTTGAACAAGAACTATGTCCCCTACGGTGTATTTTCGATCTCCTTCATTAGAAGAGATCTTTCGAATCATTTCTCGTCCTACTGGGCCATTGTGGGGCTTGTAGGTTCTTATTGTACCGTTATGCATATCCTCGGTCATCATTTCGATGACGTATTTATCATCCTCAACTTCTAAAACAGTGGCTTTCACAAAATCTTCCTTAAAGCCATCACTAACAGCAGAATAATCTCTTGTTGCCACATAGACTATTTCGTTGACTTCCACAGGAGCTTTGGCTGTAGCTAATTCCATTTGAACAAAGTACTGGTAGCCCACCGGTCTCTGACTCAACCACTGTTCCTTCCTTTCTGGATTATAATAATCGCTGTCGTTGATGATACGCGGATTCCAATCAAACTTTAAGGGTTTCGCACCGGGCAGAACTCTCTTCGTGGTCGTTGTCAATCCAAGTTTTTCTTCGATGGTTGCAAGAGAAGTTTCCAGGGAGTGGAAGAAATTGTGGTGACGGGCCCAAACTATGCTCCATTCTTCGCTGCGTTCCTCAGTATACAAATCAATGTCAGCCTTCATGATAGGTGACACAATTATGATCTCGCTTCTGAATCGATCCAACAATATTTTTCTCCAGCTCTCTCCCGTTGGTACCGGAGTCAGAAAAACAAAGGTGCTTTCCAATAGTTTGTCTTGATTCAAAGTGTTATTGAAGACTTTGTGGATGATCTTTCCCATGTCCAGAGATAAAGAACGGTCTAAAACTACTCCGTCCAATTTCTTGTTTTCCGATACGATATCGACAAGACGTTTCTCCGTCGCTGACTGGCAAGCAGGCATATCCTGGAACGATCCGCACGAACTGACTGGATAAAAATTCATGCCATCTTTGTTTGCTATCGAGTTATAGCTTGAACATTCCTCCGCGTCTTCCTTGCCGCAAAATACTGCGAACGAGGGAATGCGGTCCTCATCAAATGGCTGTCCTAGAATTTCGGTGATGATAATGGACTCGCTGAAAGTTTCCTCTTGTTGGATACCATCTTCGACAACCTTGTCATCGTCTTTGGTTGAGTCACTACCGGAGCTGCAATAATAATCGAGGGCGACACCAACGAGTCCGTTAGTCTCCCCGATTTCTTCCGCCGTGGCCATACCGCTTGCCGTGACCCGGAATGACGACGTCGAGCCTTCGTGCGTTCCGCCACCCAGGGCTGCAATCAGGTCCTCTTGGATTGCATTGGATTTGTCTAGTGCCACACTGGTTCCCCACATCATCAGATCAAAGGCAACGTATTGTGCCTCAGGGTAGACCCGGGCCTTGATGTAGCCCTCATCGAGGATCAAAAATGAAGCGCTGGGATCGCTGTCGGCATGAAAACTATCCACTACGGATAGTCCGTTACGCTTGGCCACATCAGTGATCTTTGTTTGCAGCTCTGACATGCTGTTGTCGCCATCGAGTGTCATGGTTACGTTTTCGGCTTCAATGACCAGCAGGTGGCCGCCGCCCATACCGATTTCTTGTTTGTGACCAGGCAACGATCGATGGATCTTGTCGCAAACGTAGGGATCAAATGAGGTCCAGGCCGTCTCGTTGCCCTCCGGATCGAGTGGCCGAGAGTGGTCGTGGTAAGCGGACCAGCCATCGTGTGCCATCGTGTCGAACGACTTGAGCCGGAGCTTGGGATCGACGCCGTGGTTGTAGCGTTCCCCCTTGGCAAAGTCCACCGAATTGCTGCCGATGGAGATGCTCGTCTCGCACAGGCGCGGGACGTCCCAATACTCGTAGGCAATGACGCGCTGAGCCATGTTGAGGGAAGCAGCCGAACGGTCCACATAATCTTCGTTTCGGGAAATAACGCCACCGTCCTGCTTCATGAGGAGGGGGGAGATTTCCAGCAAGCTCAGGTCAACGGCGACTTTGATGGCTTCCGAAACATCGTTCAGCAAATCGACCAGTACCAGATCGAAGGATCCGAAGTAGTCGTCCGGAATGATCCGCAAAGTCTTGGCGGCATTGCCGTACCACCACTCGACCCGTGGATCGTAATAGGCTGGCGTAGTTCCAAAATACTTCATCGAGGATCTGCAGGCCTGCTGGTCGAGTTCCATACCGACAATGAGTTCGATATTGGGGTACTTCAACAACTCTTCCAAGACCATGTTGTCTCCTCCTCCGATGTAGGCGACGCGTTTGACATCCTTGACATATTGAAGGGGAACATGAATGGCGGATTCGTGATAATGCGCCCGAAAGTTGGAAGCAGAGTGCAGCCATCCTTGCATTTTGATGTACGTGTTGTCGATTTCATCCTCGTAAAGATACTGCAAAACCTGGTAAAATCCATTCACGGTGGCGTCGGGAAGAAGATTTCCCCCATCCACAATCTCGCCCTCGGCGCAGGGCATGTACTCGCCCCGAAAATGGACACCCGGGCCAGCGGGCTGATCGAGGTCGTCGTATTGCTTCTCGTTGGATTCCTGGTTAACAACCGGATCGTTCCGATGCGACCATAGCATCTTAAAGGCTTCCTGATAGGCCGAATGAAATTCTTCGATGCCACTCCGTTCGAGCGAATCTAGATCTACTACGTGGTGTTTCACTTCCTCTTCTAGGGCATTCCATCGGTCTATCGCAGCAGCGATGACGTTGACCTCGTACAGTTTTTCATCCTCGCTGGTCTTTTGGATCATGGAGAACTTTTTCTCTCCGGTTTTGCGGTCGACATCAATGTCAAAGATCAATAGCAGGCTATCTGGGTCCACCTCCGATTCATATGGATCGACTTCCAAGGACCATCGGCGAGGATAGTCCTCGACAAAGCCACCGTCGGCCATAAAATTTCCAGCTGTGTACCTGTAGTGCAACTTCTCGCATCCCAGATGCTTGCACTGGTTGTAGCTAACGTGGAGGGGTTCTCCCTCTTGGATGTCGCGATCGGCGTACACAACGAGTTTGTAGGATTTCGTCGAAGGATCGTCGCCGTCGGCGGTCCGGTTGTGCACGAGCGCCTCGAAACGGTAATCGCGGGCCCTCACCTCGACGGTTTCCCCGGATTCGACTTCGACAAACTTGGCCTCGACGTTTTTCCAGAAACCGTTTCGATGGGGGATCATGTCAAAGAGGGGGATCAGATCCACACCCCATGCATTCTTGGCAACATACGAGTAGGCCGCGTTTTCGAGGTTCTCCCGGTTGTCCTTAACCTTGTCGTGCGAAGAAATGGGGATTGTCCTTGGGACAGGGGAATACCTCTTGTAGGTCCCGCAAATAGAGGAATGCTTGTGTTTGTCATTGTATCGATTGGGCTTGAATATGGCTCCTTCCTGGCCCATCATGCCCCAAAAGACAAACTTTCCTTTCTCGGACCAGGCCGAGGGCTGCTTGCCCTCGGGGTTTCCGGGCCCAAAGATATATTCCAGATAGGGATGCACGGGAGAGTCGGCTCCCTTTTCCCGCTCGTTCACAAGAGACTCGACCAGCATGCAGGTCGGAATGTGGTTCTTGGTACCTTTTTTTGGTTCGAGAAGCCTAGAAACGGTCTTCGACGGGTTTAAGATGTTGCCAACGATGGCCGACTCGGGAATTTCCATTAGCACGGTGCCACTTGGAATGTCCTCCGTCGCGTAGAACTCGAACCGGGGCTGGATCTCGAACTTGTTGCTCGTTGATCGATTGTCTTCGCTCACCGCGTCGCTGGGTTTTCTGGTAGCAGCGTACTCCTTTCTTTCGATGCGGAATTTTTCGGACGCCACGCTGCCCTGCTCCATCGAGCCGATCCACTCGACGAGGGCCTGTTCCGGGGAGAGCGCCGATAGCGAATCCCAGGCGCACGATCCCTCTTCAGATCCCTCCGGACACGTTTGCTCACCGGCGGACGACCCGGCCAGTAGAAGGGCAATGGCCGACCAAAGTGCCACGGCGTTTGAAACCGACCATATCCTCCCTCTGCCGATGCTGCTGCTGCTGTATCTGGTCCTACGCGAGGCTGTCGTAGACGCCACCTTCATTTTTGCTCCCGCTGTGATGAGTAATTTCTGTTTGATCCTTTGGTGATTTCGGTCTTCTGGGGATTGCGCTTTCTATTCGCTACTACTATTACCGCACTGGGCCATGCAACATAGACTCTTTGATGGTGCTCACCACTCGTTAAGGCGTTTTGTGATTAGTGCCCCAGGTCATGCCAAAAGGGGAGAAAACGGGACGAAAAAAAAACGTACGGTATTCTAGTACGTGTTGTCCTCGTGTGTCTTCCATAGCTTGGAAAAAATGTGCGTTCCAACGCTATCGCTTGGGTTTGCAACGGTCATTGCGCTCTCCGAATTCCTATGCGCACTCGAGGTTGTCGCGTACGTACTGCGAACAGATCTATGTAACGCTAAATGTTGAATACTTAAGTGATTGCAAGAAATGAGACTCTTGGTAGAACGAGAGCGCGCCAGAACGCTTCGAAAAAAATGTGACACACACGCCATCCCATCTCCCGTATGTATGTACCTACTACTTCCACTGGAATTAGGAAGTTAGTACTCGTTCTTTAGTAGCGTACCGGTACGGTAAGTGCGAGAATGGTTCTGGAAATTGAGAAGTACTGTAGCTTTTAACCTGTCTGGTGCTTGCGATCCCGCCCCGATGACATGAAGGAAGTATTTTACCGTACCTGGTACGAGTACGAGGGTAGTGTCGCGTCGTACGATACGAACTCAGCAAGGGTAGAGAAAGCCCACGATTTCCGTACGAAAAAATACGTACAAGTACGTACTCAAAACTGCACCGCACGTTAGACGTACCGGTGGCGTAGGTTACAAGTAGGCAGGGGTCACGTACGGTACCTACGAGTTCAAGTACGGTACAAAAAAATTCTCTGCGTGGTTCTCAACTCACGGATCATCAAACCCATATCAAACCCTTGTCTAAACTGACGTTAGGCGATTCGACGATAAGTTTTACTTCGTACTTCTTTTTGTCAAGTATTTTTTTAAGATACGGTACGTACTCGTGGTAACGAATGGCACTACTTGGCATCTATCAAAAAGTAACAGTAACAACCTGCTAGCTTAAGAGGGTTGAAAATCACAGGTTGACTCCGAGCTTGTTGAATGAGGACAACGCACGGAAAGAAAGAAGATGGAAGGCCATCTGGTGGTGGATTGGTAAACATGAAACTTGTGCTGAAAACAATTTTCAGTTCTGATTTTCTTCATCCTTTGTCGCATCGTTGGTATATTGAAAATTGGGGTCGGCAACATGAAATCGGTACTCACTGAATTGACATTTGAGCTTATCCAGACTGTTTTTCACCATTGTCTGGGGATCAGGAAGTCGCATCGGAAAGAATCTGGTGGCGATGATTTCGCCTTGTAGGATGTCAAAAGCCCTGTCATGTAGTATATAAAAAGCTTCTTTGGTTCCATAGGCTTTCTTGTAGTGTTCGGCAGTCTCTTTTGTCATTGTCATCGAAAACCCCGTTTGAAGTCCTTCGAAAGCTGCGGCTATTTCCATTGGGATGTTCGACTTGCATGTTGACATACTATGAGTCAAACGGTTTTGGATGGTTTCAAAGCTTTGACTGTATTTCAGTGCATCTGTGTTTGTCGCTTGTACTCTCTGAATTGCTTCACCATAGGTCATATCGTCTTGGACAAGCTTATGAAAATCATTAGACATTATTTGACCAGTTTTCAGCATCAAAATTTCGAGATCATTCTGTAGATCTTCCAAATCGTTTGCTGTTCCTTGGTGCATCGCTGCTCTAGTGCCATAATCGCAAAATGCAGCCATGGTTTGCAGGAATACGACTACGCCGGTCGTTGAACCGACAATTACGCTGAGTATAGCTTTGTGGTTATCGTCAGGAAGAAGTTCTGATGACACCAAAAATGCCAGAATACTTGCCACCGTCGTCAGAATAGCTTCTGGCAGGGTAAATAAACAAAGCTGACGACGGGAAAGGTGCATCCAGGAGAGGATGTGCATGCGCCTGTTCTTTCTGACGATAATCATGACATTTCTGATCGATGTGAAGTTCATTTGAAGTGATTCGCCCACTGATTCAGAACTTCTTGGATCCTCGGATTGAAGATATATTGAGGATATTCGAGGTGAATTCTTATCCTTGTCGCCGCGAGTTCCTTTACGCTTTGGTGGAGTGGATGCTTCATCTCTTTCGCGATTTTCTTTCGAGTTGGGATGAGCGGTTTCGTCTGTGCCTTCCGCCGTAGGCGCRAGACTGTTTGAGATCGAACCGTATGTTTGTGACATGTTGATAGGCAATGTTGAGCTCATCGCGGATTTCATACAAAAGGTTTTGTTGTTGTGTGTATGTCGATGTCGAGAAGGCCGGTTTCAGCTCCCAATTAGGTATTGCAGTGATTTCGCAGCAGACATTCATTCTTCATCTGAGTCTTAGCCATTCGCACGTTGCTTTTGCATATCATCTGACGTTATCATTAATTCGTTTGGAACGACGAAAATGAAAATTAATTATAAAATGAAGGAGTGGTAGAATTATCGAAAGAAGAGATAACATTTATGTTCATTTCGTTACCGTAACAAGGTTTTTTCTGTGACTGATAGTGTAGTTCTTATTGGGCATTCAAAAATTATCAATAATCATTACACCCTTCTAGGACCAGGACCAAGTACATTTATGCTTTCCGTTTTAGATCCAGCACTAAGTACATAGTGCTATTCGTCACCTGTAGTACGAACCGTACTTCCAACGCGTTGCATAACTTTAAATTATGTTTCATAGAGCATTCTGAATGTTAGAATACAGTAAGTGTTCCCAATGTTACAATAAAATAGCCCCCGTATTTGCGCTTTGCGGATCAATGAGTCATTCCCATTAACCTAGATGGTCTACTTTTTGACAGACAGATAGACAAAAAATAGACCATCTAGTCCAAATTTTTAGACCTTCTGTCAACACACAATTCACCCTTGACAGAGGATCTAAATCTAGTCCCAAATCCAAGAATGAAAATCTTACTGCACTTTGTAGGCTACTCAAAAAGTAGGTGCCCTTTTTTAGTCATAGTAGTAAGGAGTGGATTTCAAATTCCCTGAAGAATAGTGGAAGAACGCCTACTAAAAAATGCCTGTTTTCTTCTTTTTATGATTCCCATAGAACTAAAAAGTCTAAAGTAGACCATTTAGACTTTTAGACCATCTAGATTAGTAATGGGAATGACCCGATTGAAATTACTAAAGAATTACGTTTCACATGGGATTGGGATGTCTTGCTGTTGGGCGTCTGTCTTGGTAAGCTGTGTGGCTCCCAATTGAGGAGCTAGTCAAGAAACTATAATCACACTGATATACATTAGTTTACAGCTTGGGCTTACTATTTTAAGCTCAAGTATTCAGACCTGGATGATTGGGTGTTCCTCTGTGGTCTGCATCAGGGGAGGTGAAATCCCTTCCCAGGGACATAGACCCAGTCGAAAGGCTTGGGTCTATGGCTTCTTCTTGGCGGTGCACTGAAAATCAAAACAGAGTTCTTCTTCAGTATACTCTGAGGCTCTAGACATGGAGATAAATTCACTCATCAAATAAGGACAAGCACTCAGGAAGAATGATGAATAGTTATCTCTTTCAATCCAGGGCATAATTGGATGGCAGGATGACATGGCTCTTTCTTTGACTCATCCAATTTACTAGCACCACTGATCCCCAGGAGGGTGGGTGGGTAAGAAAAATATTAGAGCAGCTCCTCCAGTTTGGTCTCTTAGCTATGGACACCAAATCTGCAGTTTGCTAAACAACAAGGGTCCCTTCGTACAGTAGGCCAGGAGGGCCTCCTGATAGGCTTACATTGTCTTTCTTGTTGCTATACTGATCACAGTACTGGAGCTGATCTATCCTTCCTGTATTGGTGGTCCTCGTGCTCTTCTGGTCTGTCCTTCACATGCTGGAATCCAGAGGAGTCAAGTGACACATGGAGGAACATTCTGAATGTTAGTTTTAATGTTCAGAATGTTAGTGGTAACAAAATTGCAAATCAAGGGAGTACTGCCAACAATTTTGCTCAAAATTGAATGGTTTTCTTAACTGTCGGTTCAAAATCCTACTGGGGCCTACTACTCCCTCCAGTGTGCTGAGCACACTAAACTATTCTTTTTGTTCTTTCAAAAACTTGGTTCAAAGCAACTGACCATGGGAATAGTTGTTTGGAGCACTTCCAATCACTCTTAGACACTGCACATCAACTTAACAGGCATTGAACTGTGGAAAGGACCCACTACTAGTACTACAAGAACTCACAGCATTTCACCCTGTTCAGTGGTGCTATTGCTTCTTTTTATGAGAACTGCTTTCAATGCGGGCAGCAATCAGCAATCTTCTTCCTGTCATAACGAAAACACAAGAGAGAGAAACCATAGATGCTAGTCTCCTACTACAGCTAAATAGATCTCTAGTACTAGGCCATGCTGATTGATTACTCTCCTCAGAGGATTCTGATCACAAGGATCAGGAGAAAGCTGTTGTCCCTGGTGCTACCCCTCCTCCAGCTGCATCAGCACCAGCTGCTTGACCACTACTAACAACACCAGTTGTATCCCATCCTTTGTTTCTAACAGCCAGCCTATGCTGTACTGGTCAGCAGAAAGCATCTTCCACTGAAAGAAAAGAAAGCTTTGCTGATCACAATTAGGGACAAGAACAAGCTCAACCATGGTCTAATTAAAGCTGTCTTCCCTGAGAGGAACAACAATGCCTTGTCCCTTGAGATATAGAGGTTACATCACACAAACTAGATCAGACATATTGTGCATTTAGTGAAGTTGACACCATGAAATTGCTGATGCAAACAAAATCACCTTCACATTCTACACCTCTGCAGTGATCATGCCCTAACAAATAACTGTGATGAGCCTGCCAGGGGCATACCAAAGAATCTTGATGACCAAGTGATGCAAAACCCTTCAGTTGAAGAAGCTGATCATGTTTTAATAGAGTCTGCAATGAGTGCTGCCAAATTGGATCTTGATGACAGTGACAATTATCTGGACAAAAGGCCTGACTCTATTGTTGTTGATGATGCAATGAAAACACCTGTTGAAAAAAGGTTGTAATCTCCCCTGAGAAAGGTAAAAATAGAGCTAATGAAGATTATGAGAGACCACAACATACCATTTGTTGCTGAATGAGAGCTATACAAATGGGCTATTGAATTGGAGATATTGTCTGGTTTCACCTGGAGCACTGGAAGGAGTTTAATCAAAACACGACAAACATTTTTGGATGAATGTTACAAAACTGCTCCCAAACTATGAGGTGATGATTTTGTACCACCGCGTATCAACCAACATTCTAGCAATGGCATTGGTGACAAACTAATCTATGTGAGGTCCTTTTGACGCATAATGCAATCTCTCTTAACCAATATCTCTTTAATGAAAAAAGAAAAATTGTCATTTCCCAACCAGAATAACCCCACCTCACCATGCCACATTCCCAACTGATAGAAGATACCTCAATCTGTAAACTCCATCATGGGGAATGATGGGTAGTTCCTTTGTTTTGTTCAAATCTAGAACGGCATCTGAGAAATTGTAGTATCTTAAAGTTTCCCAGAATGGTGTTCCAGTGTTTGGAGCATGCAACCCTAAAGTTCCCAAATGGTTGTCAATTAGTAAAAAATTCTGTACAATCACAACTTGATCCTTTGAAAGTGTCAACAAAATTTTTGCTTTTTGTTGTTTCCAGAATCAAGTGTTTTACTGTTCTTGCAAACCAAAGGAGATATGTCTTTTTGATCTATTTAAATTCAAATCAATTAGTAAATAATGATAATATGCTAGTAGTAGTAGTGTGTTTTGTGGTCTGATTGTCAAACTGAGTGGACAATACTCACCAGCAATTGAATTGCTTCTTAAATGACTTCATCCTTGTTCAGTACCTTGGTTGGTTCCTTACACACCTCTTCAATTGTACTGGATCCATACAAATTCATCCTCCTCCTTTTGGAAAGACACATAGCTTTTTTCAAAAAAGATTCCCATATGTGGCCATCGTGGGTTCTCTTTGGCTTATTTTTTTGCTTATTTCCCTTGCTTGTTTCTTCTTTGTGTATTGAGCAAACTCCTCCTCCCAATACCAGGGGCTCTGTGTACCAAACTCACGCATGTAGATCAGGCAATCTACTCCTAACATCACTCTCCACAAATGACAGTTCTTAATTTCCTTCCATCCTTTTACATCCCATGTGAAAAAGGAACCAAACAGCCAACAATCATTGATCCACCCCACCACCACTATACCTCGTCAAGGCTGGGATGGTAACCAGGCCTGCCCCAATGTTTACATTGTCTAATTACAGTCCTAAAAACCTAAGACATGGTCTACAATTCTGCATTGCCTTGATCCATGGCAACATCAACTCCTCAAGCTGGTCCAGTTTGAGACCAGCTTATCCCAAGCTTTAGATGTACTGGCTACCGGAATACCCCTCCTCATGGTTTCAGATGGATCTGGTAAAGATGGTTGCATGTCCTTTGGTTGGTCACTGGCTACCACAACTGGGGATAGAATTGCTCATGCACATGGCCAATGCTTTGGCAGTGAGAGTTCGCTTTGCGCKGAAGCCACTGGATTGTTATTAGCTAGCCTTTTTGTCACTATACTTGTCTCACATCTTCACCAATGGTATCATGAAATGAACCCTCGCTTTCATTCCAAATATGGAATGAAATCACAAACTCAACTTGATGCGACCAATACAAAGCAGTCTGTAACCAGTACTGACAATATACGCTCATTACACACCTCAGAAAATAACTTGACCATTTTGGACAAGTTAATTTCTGCTGGATATTATGCAGAAACACATCCAACCTCCCCATACCTATCCCCAGCACTGTCCCCTCAAAATCACAGAAAAGTTAGAAATTTCCAAATTGATTCTCAATTAGGCAATGAATTGGAAAATCTCTATACTTTTATCAGCAAGCTGAATGATATGCATCTTCAGGACCAACATCATCACCTTTCGCCTACGCCCTCTTCTGATACAAGTATCTCAAGTTCATCTTCATCTACTGGCACCACAAAACCTTGTCCAACACAGGTTACTTTTTTCAGCGACAGCAAAGCGCTCATAACTAGACTCCAATCCAGATGTGACTACACAGACCAGAATTTGATTTGATTGAACAGATCTTTCAAACCACCATCCAGTCTCCAACCATCACCTGCTCCTTCTCTTGGGTGAAAGGTCACCAAGATGACAACATTTCTTTTGATCAACTTCCTCTGTCAGCTCAACTGAATGTAGAAGCTGAGAGTTATGCTGGTGATTTTCAGGCTCAGATGACTACACCAAATTTCATCACATCAGTTTTACCTTCATGTCCAGTGGTGCTTCAGATCCAATCACGCTCTGTCACAAGCCAATATAAAAGAGCTCTCACAGATTCATGTCTGATCCCCCGATATCATGAATACTTGACAGATAGGAACCAGTGGTCTCCACGGGTTCTTACCAATATTGCCTGGAAGTCCCTGAGCATTGCCATAAACCGCATCTCCAGGAATGTCTTGATCACTAAGTGTTGCAACAGCATTCTACCCACTGCCACTGTTCTCAAAAGGTGGAACTACCAAAACCATGATACTTGCTGTCTTTGCCAGATGCCTGAAGATTGTGAGCATCTTTTTCGATGTTCTCATCTATCATGGCTCAGATGGTGACGGCAGACCATTACATCTCTACGACAACGGATGTCCACACTTGGCTTCCAGCCAATTGCCATTGACACTCTTGCTACATGTCATACTGAATGGCTAGACACTGGCACAGTTTCTCCAGAGAAATATCCTACATCCCTTCATCCAGTTATCCATTTCCAGAGCAAGATTGGGTGGCACCACGTGTTTGCCAGTCACATTTCACTCCAGTGGTTTACTGATCTTGATCTTCATTCTAGCTCCTATTCCCCACTTGTGTTGGGGGGTTATCTTGTGGAATTCTTTCTTACCTMTTATATATCATTATGGGAACAGCAAAATAAAGATCTTCATGGCTCCACACTTACCCAGAAGCAAGCAAAGCATCAACAGCGGGTGGTGACAAAAGTCAGCACTCTGTTTGAACTGAAATCACAGACATGTCCATCCCACGCCCACCTATTCCCAGAAGATATGGACACCTTTTAATCAACTGCATCTACTTCCATGCTCACATATTACCTTCGTGTCTACGAGAAAACGATTCTAGCAAGTGTCACCAAAGCAACCCGTGCCTCCGTCTCCAACACTCGCCCTATTACTCAGTACTTTCAACATTTGCCTCATAGTAAACAACCACCAGAGAGCGTCACACAAGATGGGCTGATCTTTGACATGTACTCCAAGAAGAAATGACACAAACCCTCTGCATCACCAAAGCTTTCTTTGGTCTCTACCGCAGCCACCTACAATACAAACTACTACGAACAATTATTACCATTAATTCCTCAGCCCAAACAAAACCCTGGTTGCACTTCCATCAAAACTCCTCAGAGGGAAGCGCCGCCCCTTGGAGCAGCTAGGAGAATTCTTTCTAACAAAAGCTATGGTTCTAGCCATATAGTGCCTCTTCTAGTTCACAAGGTAAAATATAATATTAAGATTTTTTTTAGTAAAAGGCATCCAACAGGCAAAAATAAAAAATATCCAATGTTTAATTTCTTGGTGGTCCCAAAATATTTCTGTTACTCGTCCTTACTACTGCTGGAGATATAATACCAGGTTACTACTTAAACATTTCCATCAGTGGTTACTAGTACTGGATGACTTCTATGACTACTTATCAGTGGGGATATTATAATAGTGAGTACTACAAACTGTTCTGTTGATGCCACTCCCCTCTTGTAGCACCAACAGAACAGCCTTGCCCAGCAGTTTGCAATCTTTGTCACTACTCTAGTAACATCCCCACCAGTAAGTAGTAATAGAGGTTATCCAGCAGTAGTAACCACTAATGGAAACTTTCTTCAACTACTAACCACTGATATCACATATCACAAGATTCCAGTGGCACCAACAAGATTTAGATTTTCACAAAACTAGCAGGAGCTACAACTAGCTCCTGCATTCCTACTTCACTATTTGACCATTGATTCCTCCTTTGCAGCAAAATGTCCCCCGAGTTGATTTTAATTGCATGGGTAGCTTCCCTTGAAGAGGAGGAAGAGGAAATGTATAGTAGACTTGCCCTTGAGGACAGGTGCGAAAGGGATAGAAGAAGCATACCAGCAAGGATTGCACTCAGCATGGAGATGAACAAATCCCTATTCATCCATTTATTTGGTAGTGGCAGCTACCAGGCTCTTCTAAACTGCTGTGGTGGTGTAGATCATAGTAGGGTCTTTATGCATGACCTCCTTTCCCTCTTTGAGTCATTTTTTAAAATATACAGTGGACTAAAATACCATGCAGTTCAGACCTTCTTGTATTTTCAATAAGAAAGGAAAACCAAAGGACAAAAAGAGAGAGATAATTGCAATCAGTGGACTTGCAACATTGGTCTTGACTTGGTTCAGAACTTATGGATCAGCAGCAATGACCTTGTTGTTATCTATGGTGTTTGGTCTCACTTCAACACCCCTCTATAAATAGTTGAAGTATTCCAGAAGAGTTCTTCTGCTGTCTGTAGGATATCAGATCATGGGTATGATTCATATATACAACACATACATAAGACACGTATCTATGATTCATACACACAATACATATATGACTCACTCAATCCTATKGATCCATATGATCCACATGACTCAGTTGATTCACTAGCGTGAGTGACTTGACTCATTTGATTTTTTCACATCACCCAATCTTCATTCTGATTGATCTTAGATTTCATAGTTTGTCAATCCTCGATAAGAGCATCGACTCCCTTTTCTTCTAGTAGTAGCACACAATTTACATCAATATTAGATAGTCACTCCCACCTCTTCTTTATGGTGGGTGTATTGCAAAATCATTGCAATGCTATTATTAGACCCACCTGAGACAAAGAAGTGGAGTTGTACATAGCAGCAATTGGGGTTGGGGTGCAGCTGATGGTCTCAAAGTCCTTAAGATTCACCAACAATACAAGGAGGGAGAATGCCCAGGCTGTAGTTATAAACAGACAAGACACAGCTGTTCAGCAGTTGTTATCTGAATTGGGCATAGTAGTAATTAGATTCCAGCAGTGAGAATGTACTGTAGTTAGAATTATGAAGGATCATCCAGGAATGTCCTGGTCACCAAATGTTGCAACCACATCCTGCCAACCACTACTGTCCTCAAAAAGTGGAACTACCAAACACATGACACTTGTTGTCTTTGCCAGCTGCCGGAAGACTCTGAGCATCTCTTTAGATATTCTCACCTATCACGCATCAAATAGCAATTACAGACAAATTGCCTCTCTGCGACAACGGATGTCCACACTTGGCTTCTGGCCAATCACCATTGAAACTCTTGCTAGTTTTCTTACCAAATGGCTGGACTCTGGCACAGTTTTCTCCAGAGAAATATTCTACATCCCTTCATCCAGTTATTCATTTCCAGAGTGAGATGGATGGCACCATATGTTTGCCAGTCATCTTTCACTCCAGTGGTTTAATGATCTTGACCTTCATTCCAGCTCCTATTCCCCACTTGTGTTGGGAGGCTATCTTGTGGAGTTCTTTCTTACTTCTTATATCTCATTATGGGAACAGAGAAATAAAGATCTCCATAGCCGCACTCTTTCTCAGCAGCAAGCCAAAGGTAATGAAAGTCGGCACTCTGTTTGAACTGAAACMACAGACTTATCCATTGCATGCCCACTTATTCCCAGAAGACATGGAAACCTTCTTATCTACTGCACCTACATCCATGCTCACATACTGCCTTCAAGTTTATGGTGAGAAAACTATTCTAGCAAGTGTCAACAAAGTGTCTCTTGCCTCTGTCTCCAACACATGCCCGCCCTATTACTCAGTATTTTCCAGATTTGCCTCATAGTCACACAAGATGGGCTGGTCTTTGACGTTTACTCCAAGAAGAAAGGACACAAATCCTCTGCTTCACCAAAGATTTCTTTGGTCTCTGCCACATCCAAATGTACCGTTCAAACTAGTACTTTGAGCAAATATCCAACAGAATCCCCCATCCCACCCAACAACCTGGTTGTGCTTCCACAACAACAACTTGGAGGGAAGTGCCACCCCTTGGTGGAACTAGAAGCATACTAGTTTCCACCAAAAGCTATGGTTCTGGCCATATACTAGTGTCTCTTCTAGTAGTTCATGAGGTAAAATATAATATTAAGATTTTTTTAGAATTATGAAGGATCAATCAGAACTGAATCATAGGATTGGCTCTAGTAGTTGTGTTCTTTGTTTTCTTTACCTACAATAGCACTGTGTTATCTTATTGTCTTCCAGGTTTTCTTGCATACCTGCCTCTTATAATTTTCAAAGCAATTTTTTCAAAGGCATGAACTTACACTTCAATTCTGAAAATCATCACCTAGTAGATTTCCTACTGATTCCTATGTTGATGATACATACCTAACCTGCACCATCTGACATCTAAACCACCATCGTCTCGGACGATGGTGACATCCCCTGGTACTAGTACTGAAGGGGAAAATCCTCCTCCCTGGTCTTGATCACAGCCATACAACCAAGTTGCTGATACTGATGAGCCCAGCCTTATTCCTTTCTAGCCCCCCCCTCCCAGCTGGTGGCAGATTGCCTCAGCTGGATCCATTGTCCCCGGCTCCTCTGGAGGCAGTTTCTTCTGGTCTTGAAGTTGTTGTTCCTTCTAACATTTGTGCTGCTAGACACCAACAGCACCAACTCCAGCCCCCAGTATTCAACCTCCCAACTAGTAAGTAGCAATAGAGGTCATCCAGCAGTAGTAACCACTAATGGAAATTTTCAAAGTAAAAGAAATTACCTCTCCACTAGTAAGGACCATTAATAGAAATATTTTGGGACAAGTTTTTTGTGTGGAGGGGGGGAGAGGGGAAATAAAGACGGGAAAATATAAAAAAATTAAGCCGGGTAAATGCCAAAACTTGCCATTATGGAGCCCGTACGAGTACTGTACCGGACGGAGATTCCACAAAAATGTTGATATGTTAGTATTAGTAATACTACAGCCAAATCAAGAATTCAATTTTATAATACAGCAGCTTAAGAGGGTTGAAAGATTGACTCCGAGCTTGCTGAGTGAGGACAAAGCACAGAAAGAATATGTAAGACCACCCGGTGGTGGATCGGTAAAAAAACATCAAACATGATGAGCCGACAATTATTTTGATTCACCCTGTTTTTCAACATCGTTTGTCGCGTCGTCGGTAGACGAGTCGAAGCCGAAATCATGACGGTCGTAATCCTTGAATTGCGTGTAAAGAATTTCCATAGTTTTCTTCACCATTACCTTGGAGTAAGGAAGTTTCATCGGAAAGAATCTGGAGCCAAGGATTTCTCCTTGTAGGATGTCATCAGCCTTGGAATAGTAGGTATTCAGAAAGTTTTCGTGTCCGTAGATTTTTTCGAAGGATTCAAAATTTGCTTTTGTCATTGCAAGATGTGCCGTGGTTCGAAGTCCATTGAATGCTGCGCTTATCTCCATAGGGATGTTCGATTTGCATGCATTGAGTGTCTGAGTCAAACGACTTTGAATGGTCCCAAAGGTTTCACTATACTTTAGTGCCTCTTTGTCTGCTTCTGCGTCTGCCTCGGGATCCTTAGGTTGAATGCCTCGCATCATGTCGAGATATTCCTGGTCTATATTCTCAACTTGACTCATTTTCATTTTCAAGATATGTAGATCACATAGTAGATCTTTCAAATCAACCGCAGCTCCTTGGTGCATCGCTGCTCTTGTGCCATAATTCTTAAGCCCACTCATGGTTTGTAGAAATACAACTAAGCTCGCCGTTGAACCGACAATTAAGTTAAGTATAACTTTTGACGCTTCGTCGTCGCTCAAAGCGTCCGATGTTGCCACAAACGCCAGCACACTCGCCACCGCCGTTAGAACAGCTTGTGGCATGGTGAACCAATAGAACTGCCGACACGAAAGGTGCTTCCAGGAGAGGTTGTGCATATATAAGCTGACTGTAACCATTCGTTCAATCTGAGTGGCCGACACATATGTCATTTGAACTGGATTCTTTTTCTTTCCCTTGTCCTTGTTAGTGCCGTCATCCTTTTTCACCTTTTGTTCATCTCCGGCTTGAGTGGGTTCGACTTTGCTACTTACCGCCGACGGGTCACCTTCTTCTGGGTTTGTTTCGGACATGTTTTTTTTTGTTCAAAGATTTTGTCGCTTTGTAAGTCGGTGTAGAGGAGATCAGTTTCAGCTCCCGTTTCGATATTGTAATCACTCCGAGGCAGACATTCAATCTTTTTCTTAGTCCTAGCGCCATAACGCAAGTTAGGATGCAGGGTTTGCGTAAGACGATGGGCACCTTGCTGGTGTCGTGCTTGATTTTTTTCTTTTTGGCTGAGAGAGACGAAAGTAAGGACGAAAACGAAAAATTAAGTACGAAAGTGTGATGTAAAAAACATCAGTTGCAGAAGAGATAAAAAAAAAATAATTTATTTATTCGTGACTTTAAATAAAAATGTTTAACGTTGGCTTCAACGTAAATTCGGACTTTAAAAATTAATGGCCATAATCGTCGAGCAAAACACTTGGCTAGAACCCATAGAACGCATTGGCATTGAACGGGGCTATGCGTCAGGAAATAGAGCTATTAAAGGCAAGCCCCGTACTGGCAAGTTATTGGCAATTCCCATACAAATGCTAGTAGAAAATTTTAGCTCATTTTTTCAGTAAAAAACCG